TGGTGGACTGGGACTAAAAATCAGCCCAGGACTCTCGACCGGCCCACTTCGGTACCGCTAGTAAATTGTCAACGGGGGGAGTGGGGGATGTGCTAGTGACTTATCCGACCGGCCCACTTCGTTACCGGCACATCGGGATTCGTCCCGATGGCCAGTCCGCTACTGCACCCAGCCCAGCCCACGTAAACTGTCAACGGGGGGAGCCTCGCTGCGGGGAAACGGTGGACCTAGTGTCCCGATCGGAGTCGAATCCGTGCATTTTATCCATTAATTTCCCCAACATTGTGGTGAAAAAAACACACGTTTAATCCATGTTGGTGTACTACAACTACAAAAAGCATCGGTTTGTTTTCTCATCAGGAAATGCAGACCGGCTCAAACAAACGATTTTTAATCATCATCCTCACGATCATTTAATATGTTCGCGGAATTGACATGAAAGCACTAATAAATGTAGTTTAATCCACTTGAGTTTACAACTACAAAAATAATCGATTTGTTTTTATATCACATCCGACGGGAGGAAATTCAGTAGCTCTCACTACCGATTTTTAATCCTAATGTAATCATCATCTTCACCACGATCATTAATGTTTATGTTCACCGAATTGACATGAAAGCACTGACAAATATGAATATACTGTAGTCAACTTCATTACAACGTTATTAACGTGCCTAAACTCAGTAATTCAACATTTATACGCATGACAACACACTTTGTCCGTGTTTGGCTCTCTCGCCGCACAGTGAAGCATTGCCGCCACTTCCGGCTTCCCCCAAAACTTCAAAATGAGTCGAAGGAATTTCCCCGCGATGTTCGAAATTATTTATCGGAATGGTATCGCACCTTCTTTTTTAAACTGACGGTTCGAGATTACTAGTATTTCATTGTACAACAGTTGTTGGGAGGCTGTCACAGGCTCTTTAATAGTAAGTCATTCCTGCCTGTGGCCAACAAACTCCTGCCAGGCACTCTGAGTCAATAGACATGTACTGGACATTTCACCATCAGAGGCCAAACCCTTTTAAAGTGGGCAATTCAGCATTAATATGGTATACTAATACCCCACTGTATATATTGTAGTATACAAGTTATATTTTGTAGAACGATGTGCACATTTTTACTTTGGCTTCATAGATATATTTATTGAATTTTTTTTTTTTTTTAAATATGTATCCTCTATTTTATTTATTAAAAAAAAAACTATTCCCCTGTGAAAATTACATTATGCAGATTATGATTTACTGACATTTTAAATTGCAACACAACAAAATGCAGAAAATCTGGCCTTGGGCAATGTTTAAGTAAGATGCTTGATCTGACTAAAGTGCCTAATGATGAATTAGACTGGGACTGTAACCTCTGTAGCTCTAATTTTTCAATGTTTCTTGTGACTCATGTCACTAAATCTGAGCACTATCCTAGTCTTCAAGTGATTTTGCTTATTTTAAACCAATGGTCTTCAATCCTTAATTTACGTTTTAATTGGCAATATTTTTGCTTTGTATTTGTAACAGATGCTTATCACAGTTGCTGGGTACATAATTTGAATAATTGTCAAAGTGTGACATATGACAGTATATATACGCTATAATCTATCAACAATTCACGTACCTGTCAATCACTGCAGATTACTGTAAATTAAATGGATGGAAATGAATGACATTGAAACTATATAAAACAAATGACTTTCATTATTTTAAATGTTTTCTTTGTATATATTTTACAGCAAATCCCACTAATCAACAAAAAAGCTAATCTTGGTTTAAAGATTAGTTCTATAATAATGTTGTAAACAAATATGGATTTATTTGTAGGTCATTTGAGGAAAAATCCAATAAAAAATAACTACAATTCTGGATGTTCTTAAATTAGCCACTTTGTATATCTATCTTCATTTAGTCAAATGGATAACAACAAACTGCATTTGTGGTAATCTAGTTCGTAAAATCGACCAGGAAATGTCGTATTTCTTTCATCCAAAAGCAAAAAGATTAGACCAAGATGAACTCAGATTTGAAAGTACATAAAGTTTGGAAAGTTACAGTTTTATCAGTCAAACGAGGTTAATCTTTTTAATCTGACAGTTAACAGTGATAAGCTCAACAGTCTTTGACATTTAAACATCTGCTGGAGCAAAATGACAATATAGTTACTAATGGATAGTCCTGGCAACTGTAACAGTTGCCTTTTGTGCAGACATTAGTGACAGTTAAACAGTCATAGAGAAAATAAATTAACCAACAACCTCAATGATAAGGTATTCAATAGCAAATCAATTATTAAACAAGTAAACTCAATTAAAAACAACAATTATTTATACAAAATATATAGCAGCATGTCAAAATTAACTAGAGATTTTCAATATATATAAATCTTTGTGAAAAAGCATCAATAACAGACTGCACCTCTACTATACTACCATTTTATTAAATTAACTCTGATAGTGTGAACATAATCCCTCCTGTTTATTTATAAGCAGACACAAACTTCAATTTATGTTTTTATAATAATCCAATAATCATATTGATTAGATCAAAAACTTTCATAAAACTGACTGACGATTGCCACGTGCCTTTATGAATACTAATAAAGGCAGCTTTTAAAGCTTTTAAAGCTTTTAAAGCAATTTTAAAGCAGCTTAAAGATCTACAAATCAATGGAGCAATAACACTTTGCAGAGGCAATTAAAGAAGCTGTAACATGTTGCCTTTGTTTGATACTAAGTCGGATTATGGAGGGGTGGGAGTGGTTATTGATTGAAATATGCCTCCTGGCACAGCATGTTCTAGGTACAAGTAACAAACAACAAATCAGGCGCTAATCCTGCCATGATAAAAGTTGCTGCAGGATATTGTTACAGTAAAATACTGTACAAGGCTGGGCTTTTGCAATTTCTTAGCAATCATCATCTGTCATGTTAGCAACACATTCAAATGTGAGTCTTGCTGTGACTACTTGCTTAGTATCAATTGTCATTTATTTGGAAAAAACCTTGTTTACTTAGTAGGGCCTCGTTTTAGACATTTTAAAATCCTTTTCAGAAATCTACGCAAACTACAACTGGGAAAAGTTGAACTATCGAACCTTACTGTAAGAATTTTCATTTTAAAGAACAAAGCTGGTGATACTTTATATTTTTCTCACAGTCCTGAAAATCACCAAACCGTCAATGAATGTAAGCCAGGCCACGGTGAAAGGTTTAACAATGAACAAATGTTTCCAGGAGGTTGTGGGAATTTTCTTTTACTCGATTAACATTTATTTTAGCCAACTAGCTAAGATTTAGGAGTTCCAGAAAGCCTGACAAACAAGGTCAGAAATCACACAGAAGTGAGCAAGAGAGAGCAAAACTGAATACAAAATAAACTTTATTTAAAAATAATCTGATGTAATTATGTGGTTTGTTGATGTCTAATGAACGTCAGATAGACTCAAGTCTCTGTAACAGTCTGACCGAATATCCACCTCAAAGTCTTCCATGCATGCGTCAAATAATTCACATGCGGGCCGCAGTATAGCGTATAGTCTTTCCGATAAAGGCAGCGGTGGTCCAAAAAAGTTAAAAAAATTATGTTTCACACTCAAACACACCCGTCCGGACATAACAAATCCAAAAGTGATTGTTTGAACATTTTGTGTTGAGCAATGTCTTAATGTTGCAATGTCTTAATGTCTTAAAATCCACTCCCAAGTTTGAATTAAAATGCAAAAATATATGGTTGATAAAATATGTAGTTACAATCATTAAAAAATGATTGTTTAGAGATGAAGCACAATTGGGATTATAATAATCCCAGACAGTAATTTACTGATATACTCAGTAATTCTTAAAATGTTTCGTTCACAACTCACTCACACAGGGTAAACCTAATTGTCGCCTAGTGGCTGTTTGCCAGAATAAATTGTCCGCAAACACACATAGCTAGGATTAATCCTCCTGGGCATACATATAGTTTTTCTGTTGTTTTTATGTGCTCATTGGACATTTTAACATTTATTCACATTCATTAAATGTACCTGATCTTGAGCCATGTCACGAGGGCAGTGGATATCTGCTGCGATTAAAGTTCCTGACAGCACTAGGCTTTGGGACAAACAGCCTTTGCACTGAAGAAATCTGGTTACAGAGCCCTTCTCAGTATTCCAGATGGCATTATATGCTGCAGGAATGAGAAGCAGGGCGAAAGCATGTCACTGTATTGACTTGAGAGAGAAAATGTGCCATAAAAGGATCAAAGTTAAAGGTTAACATGTTAATATGAATGTTAAATTCTGTTTGGGATGGGAAAAGGGATTAATCTTTCCCAATCTACTGCTAATCATTTAAATAATCATAATTTAGCATGAGATGATACAATACAAAGACCTACATTTAAAAAAGAAAAGAAAAAGAGCAGTCACAACCTTGTGCATTTACCAAATGTGAGTACTAGTTATTTTATCAAAGTTAGCCCCATAGTAAAAACATTTAAAAATTCATTTTGTATGTATAATGCTATTGAGGACCAGTCCCTAACAAACTCATCAAGAGTTCCTCTCAATATATTTGATAATCTATAAATAGTCAATTGGACATCAAGCTTTTTAAACCATGCTAAAATAATGTGAAAGAATTTGTAATCATCATGTACTTTTAGCAATGAATACTCAGATATATACTGCGTAGAACCCTATTTACTTCTTCAATAATGTCTATTACACCATATGTCAACCCACCAGTTAAAGTGTTATCACAGTAGGGTTGGAGAGCAGTCCTTAGGGCCTTCAATGATGTGACACTTTGGACTACCAGCAGTGAGTTGTCTGAAAGTGATTGCTGATTTGTTGCACACTGGCAGAGACGCGTTGTTTTTCCAGAACTAAATCTGTCGTTTCTCAGAAAACCTAAATGTTCAGATTCACAAACAGCACGTCGTAGTGCACCTGAAAAATAAAGTCATAACTGTGAAGATTAAATCAATGCCAAATAACATTGGAGAAATAGTTTGACTTGATTTAGCTGTAGTAAACACATTACAGGGTTTTCTCAGGAACTACCATGTGCCACAGGAAGTAGTTCCTTCTCACATATAGAACAGTAGAGTCCCAGAGAGCAGGGCTTGTGATCTTTGGCTCTCTGAAAGTAGAACAAAAAATATATTATCGGGCTTCTTTTTTTCAATTATTATGTCCACACCTCTAAATATACTTCATATGCTGTATTGTTTTTCATTTTCATCTGTATCTCTGGTAAACCGTTTAATTCTGACACTAGAGGTTTCTCAATACTCAAATTTCCCCTCCTCGACTCCTCGGTCCTCCGGTAGTGACCCGGAAATGAATTTCAGCGCGCCATTTTGAAGGACATCTCATTTCTCTAAATGCACTTCGAGGACCGAGCATCAAGCATCGAGGAGGCTCTCTGGAGGAGCTCTAACCGAGGAGACACTGATGGTTCCTCCACGGCTCCTCCGTGGACGCATTTCCGGGAACAGTGGAGGCGTGACGCACGGCCGGACTTATCTCAGCCAATGACAGCTCTGCATGCATCCCTTGGATATTATTTTAGAAACTGCTTTCATCGCAAAGCGATGTTTACAGTGAGAACAGCTGTGAGGTCCGTGCAGAAAGCAGAGCAGTGTGTAAAATATATATCACTCAGTATAACAGGCCTACATTACTCTCTGTAAATGTTGTATGCTGTAGTTTAGTAGATATCTACAAACAAAGAGTCGATATTTTTCTAAGACCATTTAGGGCCTCACATAATAAAATACACAACGGCTGTAGCCTGATTATGCTTTAGGAGCTAGATGTGTGTTGTACAGTGTGAGGTGTGTGTGTTGTACAGTGTGAGGTGTGTGTGTTGTACAGTGCGTAGATGCGGCGGACAGACGGGTCTCAGTTGGTTTGGTGTCCTCTGCTTACTTTTAATAGGCCTACTTGTAAATACAACTTTTGGCCCGTCATTTCAATTCCCCATTTCAGCGACCAGAGAGAGGGGGGGATATATCCAGTCTCTGATTGTGTTACGTTATTATGAGAGTGCTCTCATACTTGTTTGATTCTGAAATTGTATATATTTATATAAATATATTTGTGTGTATATGTCCGCATCTGTAGTCTGTTATTGTCTCATTATACCGCACTGTGAATGAATCAAAGTAAATATACAAGTGGTCATGAACACATCTATCCATCAGACAGAGGGCTGCTGTGCCTCCTGTCATCATTAATGGACGTCTCTTTAAAATGACCGCTCAGAGGAGAGGAGTTCTCATTTCTCTAACCGCCTGCTGCTTCCCCTCCTCTCTCCTCGGTTCCCCTCCTCGGCTCCTCCGCTCACATCTCCTGTGGGCGGGACTAAGTCTTGAGGATAGGATTCGAGGATAGGAGTCGAGGAGGGGAAATTTGAGTATTGAGAAACCTCTACTGTGTTGACCGAGGTTGTGGAACATTACCATCGTCCGTGTTATCTACAAATGCTTCTTAGTGCAGCATATTGATAAACAGAATCCAACACTACATGACATGTACAGCAGCACTGTACACTGATAGGAAATAGTATATCCATTCACTATGAAATGCTGAACAAAAAGCCATACTTACATGTATTTTTGGAAAGGTCTTTGTAAATCTCCTGCTCTTCTGCTTGCAAGATCTCTGTACTTTTATAGCTTGGTTGAGAAGAAATAAGGTAAAATAAGTATCTGGTACACCATGTGATGTTTGTGGATAAAGTAGTAGCTTTTAAAAGAAAATGTACATGTTCATGTTTTCATGAAGGAGATTTTCATGTTAAAAATCACTATGCATTTCTTTAGCTTTTATTTGACCTACCTTGCAAATCCAAATTGGTCCCTTTTGTAAACAATTTTGATAATGCATCGTAACACACTGTGTTCAACCTTCTTGATCAATATTGACATGTTTATGTATAGGTTGTTCAAAATGTACATCCTTTGATTTAAAGAGATTAGGACCATACCTTTTGGTTTGGTTGGCTCACTTCCTGTGCATTGCTCTGCTGGACGACTGGCACTACATCCAGCTGCTTGAGCTTCTTTTATAATCTTTAGGTCTTCTTTTTTGGGGGTCACAATGTCGAACTCAGTCCATGTGGAACTACCAGGTGTAATAGGTACTTTTTTGAGAGTTTTGTTCTCCCTAACACCCAAAAAGGACTTTCCTGACTCGGAAATGCAGCCATCATCCTGAGCCTCTGGCAAAAAATGATCCTGATAAGCACTCTCTTTAACCTTTTCTTTCTTTGAGCGGTACCCTCTGACGGGTTTGGCTCTGGATGGTCTGCTCTTCAAACCCCCAATCACCACCTTTACCTCCTGATCTGTCCTGACCTTGTTAGTCCTCCTCTGGCTGCTTCTGGTCCCAATCTGCCGAAGTCTGGCACTCCCTACACTCTTGGCTCCACCTGTCAATTAACATGAAGTCACATTTTTAGCAAATAGATACTGTACATCTGGTAGTTATGGACTGGGAAATTATCGAAAATAGATAAGATTAACCTTTCATTATTCTTTAAATCTACATTGAGGGACATAGCTTTATCCATAGCTGCCTCTCCCTCTCTTAGTCTCTCCCGAAACACATCCGTTACTGCAACAATGTGTCTACATTCAAATCACTAATCAAAACTCAGAGCTGCTTTATATTTTAAGTGTTTTTTTAGATGATTTTTAAATTAATGTTAACATATGTGTGTTTTTCTATTATTGTTGTTGTTAATATGTAATTATTACGCAGCATCACATAATCAGCAGCAATACACAGCAGTGAGAGATGATAAATAACACCACCTGTCATGATCTTGAAGTTTGAATGGATTGACATTTGGATATTATCATAACACTTACGATTCATTTTGTTGTAACACTATCAATTGTAGAAAGGTGTATATTATTTCAACACGTCAGAACTCTCTGCTCCAGTTTCTCTTGTAATAAAACCACGTTGCGCATTTTACACATATATAATCTGTTCAATATTTAATATTCCATGTCATATATGTATGTATATATATATATATATGTGTATATATAATATCTACATGTATATGTTCCATTTTATTTTATTTCTATTCTTGTTTAGTTCTAGTTCTGTTTTATTGTAAAATGCCTTGTCTTTTATGCCGCTGCAATAAAAACTATTTCCCAAATTGGGATCAATAAAGTACCATCTTCTCTTATCTTAATAGTGACCTTGGAATTAACTATTTTAAGTCTCAGCGTCTTTAACTTTTTTAGTCAGTATAAGGACCGAAAACGCGACTTCGCAACCATTTACTCAGCAATTTCAATAATGAATTTAATTACATCTGTGCTGAATTGCTAAATAGTTGTCAGATACTCGCAATTCTAGCAGGGGGTGATAGCAGACTCCAGTAGGTGTTGGTGTATCTTAGCATTGTAAATTGTAGTTTATTTATTATTGTAAGAAATATACTAAAGGTTGGCCTCAGACTATTAGAAATGCTGTTTGTGTTTTAATGTTCCTCTTTTTTTCTTCTAGTAGCTCAGTGTAGCCACTACATTGGTTTACCAATGAGGTAGAAATACAACTACAAAGATGGGGAAGTTTGCAGGTAACATTTAATGATGTAGACGCTGTTGACCATTCATAATGGCAGGATTTAATTTGGGCAAACGGCACAAATCTGTTCGGATGGAGAGCTTTTTCTGTTGAATGTCCTGTATTTTCAACTAAAAATGTTGTTTTACTTTTACCTTCAGTGATTTCTGGTGCATTAGACTAATGGGGGAAAACACAGTCATTCACAGCCATTACTGAGTCTTTCAGTAATGCGGGGCTTGCTATTAAGTGCTTTTAACACACATTCGCTGGCCTCTCCACGCTCTGTTTTGATGATCTTAACGAGAGGCCATGCACGATTACATATACAAGGGTCTTGGGGAGGCAGTTGATGAGCGAAGAAAGGCTTTAATGGAACACTTGTCTACTCTGCTCGTCTGCGCAAATCACACATTGGTGAAGTTTGCGCTGTAATGAGACAAATCACATCAGTGTAATCATGTTTAATCTCGGGGGGGTTTTCTGTCTCCCTTCAATTTAGCCTGTGACTTCAGGTTCTCAGACTAAGACAATCAAATATGGTCGTTAAATAGCTGATTACACAAACATACTGTTTTAGGTAGGTCACCGTTAATCCGTGTTTTACTCCATAAATACAATTCTAACATTAAGTAAGAGCTATTAGTGAATTATACAGGACTACAAAAATCACTGTAAATGACTTGTGGGAAATTCGCTGGTTTATTTTGTATTCATTTATTGTGTAAACATGTTTTAACATTACTGTTTTCGAGGTGGAGCTTTCCTTTGCAACAATATGCATCAAGTTGCCAGTTTGTTAAGTCTATTTTTGTTAAGACTCTTACAGTGTTGTTTTGACTTCATGGTCTCCTTTGAATCTGAAGGTTGCCTGTTGTTGTTGTTATTGTGTTGCTGTGCAGAGAGGTGCTTATAGGCAAAAACTCAGCTTTTTAGACTGGCTTTCATGTGTGATTAATGTTAGCGAGCTCGATTCTATTCAGATTGATTGACTTGTTTTCATTGTTAAGCGTCTTTGAGCACATGTAAAAGTGCTTGACAAATAACATGTATCATCATTATGATGATTATTTAAGTCTACACTCATTGCTATAAATAAATAAAATATTAGAACACAATATATTGTCATCAAATTAGGAAGTGGGTTAAGTACCTAGCAAGTGTATATACTCAGGTAATGTAATTGATATGCGTGTATATATATATATATATATATATATATATATATATATATATCATGTTTTACAGGAAAAAGTGTTTTATAGGAAAATATTAATTTTTTGTTATTGTACTTATTATAAATCTGTTTTTATAATTCAGATAACAGATTTACATATTAAACACATGATCAATTTATAAAATATGGTGAATTTTTTTAGGATTTTACAACCAGTATAAAACTAGCTAAACTGATCCAAGCTGTAAGTACTTCCTTAAGCGTTCATTTATCAGTAATAATAATCTATAATAGCATAATACTTTACTTTGGATACTTGTTAAAAAAAAAGTTGGGCAATTCAGAATCATGTGTATGTGGATACAGAAAAGAAAACAGGAAAAAGGATGATGGAAAATGAAAGTAACGCTAACATTTTTATTTTTGAATAAACAGAGTTTATACAAATGCTTGAAAAGTGAGTAAATAACACATGGAATTTAAATTGCTGAAATAAAGGTCTGTAGGTTAAATCAGGCATGTCTAAAGCCTCCACGCATGTCGGCCATAATCTACGAAACACATCATTAAAACACAACGACATGATTACCTACTTTGTAGGAAAACAAATTAGTTTAGGCTTTTTGTATTTTAATGATTTGTTAAAAGGCACATTCAATCAGCGCTGCAATTTTCACTGCTGTTGGTTAGTTATGTGATTTTTTAAGTGAGAACCGGGCTTTTTGGCCTTAATAAGATGTGCTGTCACACCGCATTACAAGCTGATATGAGAAAGCAGAAGCCTCATCATCTACTGCAGGCAGAGTGTGTGGGCGAGTTGCCCGAGGCCGCTGTAACATGAGCAGATACTTTCCAGCATAGCGTTTAGAAAATGGTGTAAGATTGAATGTAAAACCTATGCAGAAATATAATAGCATGAATGTTTCAATATGTGTTTTAAATCAAAATCGAGTGTGTGTGTATTGTTTTTGCGATGTATTTTCATATAAGACTTTCTGCTTCGTTCACAATATCTCTTGGTTCCAGCTAGCTAGTTACCTGTTGTAGTGGGGGGAGCTTTCTGCTTGGACCTGGACAACCTGCGAAGCTTACTTCCTGTCTGCCTGCTCTGGGTGTCCACCTGCTCTGCTTCTTCACCTTGGTTCTGTCCTATAATGTCTCCTTCCTGTCCCTGTGACAGCTCTGTGCTGTCCATACTGACTGAAATAGAACTCTGTCTATCAAAAGCAGAGGCTCGACCTTGCCCTCGGGCTTGCTCAGAGCCAAAAAGTTCTTCTGACAGGGGGGCAGGACTCTCCGCCACTCCAGCCATCCTGGGAGGTGACTTGCCGTTGGCCTCTTCCTGTGGGCTGCCTTCACCCTCGAAAAGTTCTGGAGTGAAGAACACAGTTTGGTCCTCTTCCTTTTCATCTGTACTGTCTACTGAGGGCAGTTCACTTTTACAGGTAGATGGTGGAGAAGGCTCCAAAGGCTGATTGTGTGCTTCCAATTTGATTCCACCGGAACCATCTCCACTCTCTTGCTTAAGACAAGTTGGCTTTTGTGGAGACGAGATCGGCTGCTTCTCCTTGTGCTCTGAATCCGTAGATGTTTCAAAGAGCTGGCTGGAATTACATACTGCTTTTTCTTTGAAGATTGGCTTCCTGAAGCAGGTGCTGGCGGGGCTGAAAATGTTGTACAGAGGCGAACCTGTGTTTCTTTTTTGATGTAAGGGCTCCGCTGGGGTACTGTGCATCGTATTCAACAGTTCTGCATCAAGGAAACAAAACAAAACATTTACAGTGGATATTTATTGACCTTATACCAGCATATTAAACCTGCACATCTTGGAAAATATATCTGATCATATTTTATATTAACTTATATTGCAATTGCGATTTGATAAATAATATTGGAGGTAATGATCATTATGATGGGAATTTACAGTGATTCAATATATATGAAGGTTTCCTCGCTATGAAATGTGTCGCCTCTGACCATTGTCAATTATCATATCACATTATCACTTATATTGAAAAATCTATGGAATCTGCAACAAACCAAAGTCTGTAGAATATATGTAGCTCTAGAATACCTCATTGAGAATGGTATTTTCACATATTGTGCTTGCGATCTGGATAACATTTGAATATATTGTGCAGCCAAATAACAAAAGAAGCACTTAAAAATAAGACCTTTTTTGAGGCTCACCATAAAGTGTGACTGGTATACAGAGCACCGCGGCTGCCGAGGCTATCTTATAAAGAAAGATATAAATGCGGGTTTACGCTCAATATAATCCAAACAAAGGTCAAGGGGATTTAATTAAAAGCAACAGTCCAACATCTGCTCATCAGCTCGCTCCAGCGCCACTCAGGCACGCAAAAGACCTTACAGTAATGAGGCGAGCCACTCAACTGATAGCATGGCCCCCACCCCCAACATCCACCCCAAATTATAAAGGGAGGGGCGGGGTGGGGGTCTGCTACAGCTCTGCTCCCAACACACGGGATTCAACGGGGCTAACAGCTCAACCTTGTCATGACCCCAAAGACAATGGATGCTAGCCGAGGCGATGTGCAAACACGTCACCTAAGAATATTTTCTGTGGTGATGTCATACACCCTTTGGCACAAAAAAATGCACCTTTTGAGTGCTGCCTTTCGAAAGCTGCACACTTTAAAATGTCATCATTTATGTGTATTCCTATCATGACTAGATTAGATTGAAAGCAGATACATATATTTACATTATAAGCCTTTATACAAATAAGGCAGAACTTTTGAATTACTTGGTAATGTATTTGGTTTCAATGCAGAGTGAAACATTGTTTCTACGCAAGCTTTTCAGTTAAGGGGGATGTGTTGCCCGTTTTGGTATCACTTTGGGTTCCATGATGAAACATTACTTTTTTTTTTCAAAGGGGGTAGGACTTGAACCAATTGTGTGTCAATCCGCTGCAGAAAATAGTCCCCAACAAATATACAGTGACCAGCCAGTTTAGATAATTGGTAAAAATGACTATATACACCTGAGACTAGATTTACATCTTCAGTCAAATACAGGGGCTTTAGGCAACTAGGGTTACAGCTAAGAGCCAACGGGGGTAGAGAAGTAGCAGTGAAGAGTAACATAT